GGTTAAAAACATTTACTTTTGACTTTTGAATGAGTTACAAGAGTACATTTAAAACTAGAAAGTGAGTACATTTTTGACTGAATATTTTTACTTAAGTGTAATTTCTCAGTACTTTTTCCACCTCTTTTTGGAAAACAAAAATGCTTGAGTGAAAGCATTGCATGTTTATTTCCTTACAATATTATAATTATTTTGCCCATGGAGTGTGTGTGTGTGTGTGTGTGTGTGTGTGTGTGTGAGTGAGAGTGAGAGTGAGTGAGAGAGAGAGAGAGAGATCCTCACTGTCAGTCTTTGCGGTTTTATTCCTTTGATATGGCTGATGAGAGTGATGCTCTGATGCAGTGTGGCTTGCTTTGTGTTTAGGTTTTGAAAGGGTCTCTGGTTTCATTTTCTGCTGTGTTCCAGGAATCCTTTGGTGTGTGTGTGTGTGTGTGTGTGTGTGTGTGTCCTCTACACTATAGCATTGCCCTCTCTTTAACAGGGTTCACTGTCTCAAATCCTATCATTGGCTTTGGGTTCCCAAGTCAGTCTGTATTCAGAGCAGCAAATAAATGTTGCAGATGTATTGTATGTAAACAGCTCGTCTAACATTTCCTCAGCTCTTCTGTCATTCTGACTCACAATCATGCCTATGGCTTACTCATTGTTTGCGAAAAATCATACTTCATTAAATTTTCATTATGGCCTTTTGCTTTTCAAACTTTGCACTTTCCAGTTTAGCCAAGCTGCATTTTTTTTGTAGTATTTATGTCAAGAGAGAAAAAAGGGTCTGGTGAGGGAATAACTGTTATAAGTGATAAACTTGTCTTCTGGATGTTCTACAGCATTAAATGTAATTCTGGATACAAAAAGAAGAACAGAAAAAAAGATGTGTGATTTGCTAAAATAATAAAACTATATATATATATATATATATATATATATTATTGGCAAATTGCTGTGGTGTAGGAGGAAAACACTTCAGGGCATCCTGTCATTGGAAAGTAATCAACTTCAAGGTGGTAACAGAAAAATTATGTCTAATAGTCTAATAGAATGAAATGCCAAATTACTGACTTATATACAGAAGCTCTTAAACAGTATCCAATTCACCAGAGATCTTTAACCAAGGGCAAAACCTTGGAGCAGATTACCAACAGAGATAATTTCTGCTTTCAATACACTGTTATGTATGAAGCCAGCTGGACAGCTTAAATGTAATTAATATATAATGCTTTTTTTTCTAGCAGATGTCATTTTGACATGCTTTTGTTTGTGTTTCATCCAACAGAATAGGATTCCATGTATGCGCCCACACACAGCTAACAAAGACACTTGGTCTGGTTTCAAGCGTGTGCTCTTTAATTTTACCCAGTGGAAGAACTTTCTTATAGGTCACTGTTGTGTGTGTGTGGGTGTGTGTTAAATTGGTGTTTTCTCTGTGTTTCTCGATATTTTTGATTCTCTATGTTTAGGCCATTCATTTATTGGCAGATTTCCCTTTTGGGATCACTGCTTAGTGAAAAGACTTTGATCCACTCAAGGAGTTTGTGGTTTCCAGTTTCTCAGTTACATGACAAGCTGTGAGTTTTTGTTGTTGCTGCTCTTGTTGCTGTTGTTTTATTAACTTCAACAGAGAGAATACAGGAGAAACTGGTGTTGGAATGTTTATTTATAGCTGCTATAATGCAAGTGATAACAGGAACTAACTTGTACATAACATTAACAGTTAAAATGTGCAATCTGTCATTCACTAATAAATTAAAAATTGCAATTGTAGGCAAATCGTTGTGGTATGAGTGGAATAATACACTTTAGACCATGCTGTTATACCCCTGCCATGGATTCCTTGTTAATGAGGAATGTTAAAATGTTAACCAAGTGTTAGTATTAAATGTTTCAATTTTAACTAAATGTTAATATTAAATGCTAAAATGGTAGCTAAGTGTCAATGTTAAATGACTTTCATAATATAGAGCCTGCCGTTTTACAAAGATACAAACCGTGATGTAATATGACTAAAAAGAGCATGGAGAACCCGAAAAAGACAGAACCTAACAGACATTATCTGTTTTTTTTAACCTCCTGAAGGGGGAATTAGTATATGCTTGTGCATTTTTTTTTTTCCTCTGTAATTATGATGAGTTGTGTGTATGTGGGTTTTGTATTATCAATCAATGACTGTATTGGTTTAGCTGTATTTTATTAAACTATCTTTATTTTAATCAATCACATCAGCCTATAAATCCCACACCCCCTTCAGCAGCAAGGTCTTCCTAATTTCCCATGACACAACTCTCCTGGCTTCATTAAAATTGTGCTTGGTGTCTGTTAACAGTTTGAATTGTGTTTGGATTCTTTGCTGTCATCAAGTGCAGTTTCATCCTCAATCTATCCCCATGTTTTTTCTACAGTTTTGCTTGTTATATAAATGACTTTATGAAAGAGCTGTTCCTCTTTCAGCTGCTCCTGTTAGGGGTCGCCACAGCAGATCATTGGTCCGTTTGATTTGGCATAGTTTTTGCTGCTGCACACATCCCCAGTGGCTGGGCCTGGTTCCCTAGCTGGGACTCGAACCTAGGCCACAATGGTGAGAGCACTGTGGCCTAACCACTAGATTTTATGAAAGAATAATTACAGATTAATCTAAAAAAATCTCACCCTTCAGGCATCCTGCATGGGTTCTCATGGCAGCAGAGTCAGGTGTTCTTTGTTATGTCTCCATCTTTGTTTTGTTATTGGTTCCTTCCCATATTGTGTTCACCTATACCTTGTTTCCCTTACTTGTGTACTTCACTACAATCAGGTGGAGCCTGGGAAGTTTCTGCCCGGGAATGAAGCTATGACATTTCTTTAAATTGGAATCGGAATCATGTTTCGTCATTTCAACATGGTTTCACCTGTAGTACTAACTAACTAAATAAATTAATAAATAAATAGTAGTGTGTTTTAAGCATTATTAGCAGAATTTAATGTATTTTATGTGTTTGGCACACACTATGATCACCACGTCAAGGAGAGTTTGTTTGACTTTTGGTTTATTTGACTTTTGCAAGATCTTGAGCAAACTTTATTAAGGCTCTTGAGTGCACAATAAGGAAGGAAGTTTAGTGCTGGGTGGGGAGGGTAATGGGTTTTTCAGAATCGATCAGAATCCTTGTGGGGAATTAGAGGGAGAGAGAGAGAGAGAGTGAGCAGGGCTGGAGCACAAAGCAGACACATTGCATCTGACATTGTCTCTCACTGCTGGTCATTTATTCCTCTCAGCTCTCAGTTCCAGCCAGGGAGGCTTAACGTCATTATCTTCGGGCAGCCGAGGGCGCTTGACTCTGGCTCTCCCATGGTAGCAGATGCATTTGTTGTGTTGGCTGTCTACAGTGCCTGAGGGCTTGCTGGCAGCAGTGCTGATCTGGCACTTAACAATTCGGTCCATGGAACCCGAATTAATCATATTGGTTAAGATTATGGCAAAAAGGGGAATATAATTGCAGAGTATAGCATTTAGTTCTCAGAACATGCTGAGCTGAAAATATTGCATGGCGTCAAATGAGGCGTCTTTTGGCTTTTAATCTGTAGTTATGTGGAGCAGAGTGTTTATAGGCTGGGAACTGGCTAAGAATAGAGGTGGGAGATATATGATTAGACAAAATCAATTCCAAAACACATTCTGTTAAACAAATAACATTAGCTCGAGAAGAACTACCTTTAGCACTGTCAGAGGTAGTTCTACTTTAGCTGCTAGATTAATCCAAATGTGTTTGCACACTGAGAAATGTAATAGCACCCAGCTTTTTCTTGCAAAATTCAAAAATCTTATTGGTATACTGTTAACCTACATAACATCAGAATATTTCCTCACTGAGCACAGTTATTTCTGTGTTTAGTTGTGGTGTATTTCGCCTAGGAACTTCAATCTCCAGCACGCTGTGATTTTCCTGATACTGTTTAATTAAATGTTTCATCAGGTTTGACGTACTACCTGACTTTGCAACTACTAGGTCAAATCATTCATTGCACTGGGAACGGTTCTCATCTACTTTTATAACATACAACCAGACTCGAGTCCTCTTCGATGTGTTTTCATGCTCTATTTTCACGCTCTGTGGGAGCCAGTCAGACTCAGAATTCAGGCGTTATTTGAAATTTTTTCCCTTTCTTTTTGATTTTCTAAATAGTTCTAATAATCCTTTATAATTAGATTTTGGTCCAAAGTAGCAAAAATACGTTTTTCCATACTCTGCAATACCGAAATGCTTCAGTCGGTGGCCTTTGGTACAGATTTTCGGTATCTAGCCCTAATCAGGAAAGCTCAGTACCTCTGTTCCAAAGCTAATCTTTTCAAACAAGGCAAATAATAGCCTCCACCTCTCCATCTGAGAGCTGTTGTCAGAAAATAGATAGCATACATAATAGTGTAGCAAAAAATGAGCTCAAATAAGCACTAATTGTTTACCTGACGTGGCATTATTATTTGTCGTCTGCCTAAATGTTTGTCATATTCATTCTTGTTGTAGGGAAGACTACCAGATCATGCACATTCTGAAACTCAATTCAATTCAATTGTATTTCAGTAGCACTTTTAACAAAAGACATAGTCACAAAGAAGCTTCGCAGAAATCCAAATGTAGATTTAGATCCCTAATGAGCAAAATTCCTCAGACGACATGAGGAAGAAACCTTGAGAAGAACCCAATTTAAATGTGATCCCATCCTGTTCTGGGTGATGTGATAGTGGGATTATAAAATATTACTCTTCCACAGCTGTATACTACTGGACAACATCCAAACTCCCCAGTTTACCAAAACTATGCTCATTAAATCCCCAGATCTGCATGTGGCAATAATAAGAACTCATTTTCAGAGCTTGTATATTGGTTAGTGCAGAATTATTCTGGCAGAAGAAATAGTGTGTTTTGTCTGCTTTCAACACAAAAATGTGATACATTATTCATGCCATGTTATTATTAATAATAAATGTGAACTGCTTGTTTGAGAATTGATATTAACTTTATCTCTTTGTACAGGAGAGATGGCTGTGTTATATTTGGCTATAGGGATGTGCGAGAGGTGCAACATTTTCATCCAGTAAATCCTGTTTGTCTTGCAGCTTTACTCTGACATTCAGCCTCTATTCTGGTCTACAGAAAGTAATGTGAATTATTTGTTTATTATGCAGTTTTAAACTTTAATGTACTGAACATTCTGTGGGCTGTAAATATCTGTAATTATCTGTCTAGTGCAATAGTTTGTCTCTGGGTTTAATGGTGGAAATGAGCATCATCGGACGTATGTAACTTCTCTAGGTTTAGAAAATGGGAATATAATTATATTAGAGAAAGAGTGATTGAGATTTTCCTATCTGTGTTGCCGGTCTGTGAATTTGCACCAATGATGTTTGTAGTCTAATTAAATACTGAATTATTGATGTTGTTTTGTACATTTTTTGAGGCAATTAGCTGATTAATTATTTAGGAAAAGTCATTAGTGTGTATGCATAAGAGAGAAAAAGTGTGTCTCTGTAGGACCTTGGAGAACAAATCAATTAGTGGTATTGTCTTATTTAGCTGCTTCTTTATTGTTATATGCATTTATGAAAAATTTCTTAATTTTAAATTTCTTTAAGATGTGTCTGTCTGTGTGCGCTGACACAGTTCTGTCTACAGAGTGAAGATATGAATAGAGTATGTTTATATTAGAGAAATGTGAAGCAGAAGATCATTTCAGCCAAACCCTCTGAAGAGACTTTAAAAAATACCCCTAATCATTAATTCATGTGTTCTTTCATTGTCAGAAATCACTTTATCCTGGTCATGGTCACGCTGAACTCTGAGCACAATGCAGGAATACACCGCAGTCTATTGCATGGCATCACACACCCTCACACACAGACACTGATTCATAACTAGGGACAATATAGGGTCACCAATCCACCTATTGGCATATTTTTGGAAGGTGGGAGGAAACCTAAGAACCCCAAGGAAACCCAAACAGCCATGGAGAGAACATGTAAAGGTTTGCCCAGACAGTAACCTAAGCTCAGGATTGAATCAGGGATGCTGAACCTGGAGAACTGCACCACACAGTAAACAGCAGCTGGAAATTTCTTTTGTCCTGCTACCGATGTATTAGCCAGTCAGGATACGTCTTTGCAAGGAGGTGGCCACCACGCTTCTGTCACGTGCTCGATGGAAGAGTTAAATTAAGCCCATGAATGTATCCTGGAATCAATGGCAGAACATGCTGTTGTAGTTTCACTCTCTAAGAAAATTACGCATGTAGAGGAAAAACAAAAAAGGGTTATGACAGGATTATGATTATAAATATAGGTTTATATTCTATGCACTGCATGTTATAATGTCACAGTTTAGGAGGATATGGTGGTTTTTTTGGGGGGAGGATAATCAGAGCCTGCTCTAAAAAGAGTTTTATATTCAATATATTCAATATATTAAGCGGTATTTTTAACAGAGAGCATGAGAGCGGATGACTTGTTTGTGCAGAGCAGTATCAGTGAGAGTGGCCATTAAAAATGCTGTGAATTGCACTTTGACTCATGGGCAAAGTGTAGATCTGCAATGTGTGTGTCTCTGCGTTCAGTGCTCGCAGAACTGAAGTGCTATCACAAACGAGTTTCTCTACATATTCCCTTCAATGGTCCACTTGTCTCACGTGAATACATTTGAGTGCATGCAGTTCAAGGCACCCTGCACTCATTATAATGACTACGCTCAGTGATACTGCTCTGTGTGCTCAGGTTGGCCATCCTTGCACTCTTTATTAAAGACACTGTTTAAATGCCATAAGATGTCTTGTAAGAAGGTTACTTGTAGGAAGATGCTGTAGTTCCTCATCTTGGTATTTTTACAGAGCACAGTTTGCAGTCTGCTATGCTTTGATTGCGACCATCGATTGTGTAATACATCCGGATTGCTGTAATTTGTCTTTATTCATTAGACCCAATGTACACTAGGCTTATGTGACATAGAATCATTGGATGTAGGTCCCAGAGCATTTTTATGAGTATGAGTGCAAAGAGTAAACAAGCGAAACATTAGACCCGTATTGACATCGAAGCATCCCTAAAACAGTGCATAATTAGCCAGCCACGAAAAGCAACACTGCCTGTGTTTAGCTGTGTACTCATAGCTTATAAGGATGCTTTTGAGGCTGCAGTCTTTTGAGCCACCCAAGAAGTCGAACATCTCATTATTTTAAGAAAAAATCTGTCAATGTAGGCATTGCGACGTGTTTCTTGATCTGGAATCAGGTGTGTAACTGCTTGCATGCACTCACACTGGCACATTTGGATCATGATGCTACATCACAATACAAATGAACAGTGGGTGTGTGTGTGTGTGTACATATCTGTGGAAGCTGGGGCTTTGAAGGAAGGTTTGGATTGATGGTGTGAGACCGAACAAAGGCACTGAACTCCTTTGGTAGCAGACTTGGCAGAATTGAATTAACTTATAGGTTTTTTTTTTTTTTTTTTTTATTTTATTTTTTTACAGAATTTGTGTCTTTTGTTGTACGTGCATGCACACTAGATGATTAGACAATCTATGGATAAAGATGTGGTTGTGAAATGGTGGACATCATTCTCAGAGGGGTTTTTAACAGAAACAGCTTA